TAGCGCCACCGTCTTGGGCAACCGTGCGTGGGCGCGCCTCGAGACCATCGCCGAGAGCCGTGAGCGCCGTGGGATTGCAGCGGCTCGCGTTCCATGTGAAGAGGCCCAGGACCACACACGTAAACACACAAATAGCACACAAATCCTAGGATTCCCCATGTGTTCTAATCTTTTCTGGGTTTTCCTATTCCCCCTCCCGCCTCCCATAATTTCCGATATTGTCTCGGACGTTGACATTCAACGGTGTCTGTGTGTTTTTCCCCTGCCCGCCGCAGCCAACATCTCTGAATGGTCCAGCTTCCTCTCTTCCTGTCCGTGCATCGCGGCCTTAATCTGCACACAACGTGCCCCTTGCTGCCATTCCGCCAGAGCAGTCGCCCTCTGCCCAGCCGCCGACGCAAAACATGCGTGTGTCCTCTCCCCTCCTGACCGCCGTCGCAGCCGCAGAAGTGGGACCCACCCTGCGCGAGACACTGGACTTCGGCTCCCCCATGGCCTGCCCGCTGGTGGGCGGTGCGCTGAGGGGCCAACGGCTTCTTTCCAGAGGGCACCTTCACGGCACGGTCTTCGAGGCATGGTTGGAGGCATGGCTCGCTTTTCGAGGGGCGGTTCGAGGCATGATTCGCTTCACGGTACGGTTTCCGAGGGCGAATCGCTCTTCGCGGCATGGTTCGCGGCAGCCCCGCGGGCTCCGGGCTCCTCGGCGATCGACGGGTCCGAAGCGACTGTGGTGCACTCGGTTGGCTCTTCCTTCGCAGTAGGCGTCTGCTACGACCTGGCCTCCATTGGCACGGCTGGGAGCAACTTGGCTCGCCTCCACCGCCCGGGGAACGTCGTTCACAATATTCAGCTACCGCGGATGTGCATCGGCGCTAGGAGCGTCGAGCCATCCATAGTGTCCAAGCCGGGCTTCCTGGGCCGGGTTCCAGAGCGCCTGCTGCTACCACAATGGGCCCCCTACACACGCGACGTCGGCAAGCAGGGCAACATTAGAAGAAGAAACACGCCATAAACATACTCCAGATTTCGTAATAAAAGGGGGGGGGTCTGGACCCTCCAAGACAGGCCATTTCAGACCCCCCCCCGTGGGAGAACCCTCCAAAACATCGTCCCCAGACCCCCCCCAGGCCCTCCAAGATGGCCTGGAAGAGACCCCCCCCGAAATGAGAACCCCTCCCTTTATGACGAAATCTGGAGTACACTCTTGGCGCTACGTGTGGATTTCTTGGATCCGCGCTGGACCACCGCCCCTGGCGCAAGGGGAGCGCGCCCGGGGCGGCCCCCGGAGGCGCCGGCCGGGGAGGCCCCGCGTTTCTCCGACAAGTCCGCGCGGAGCGCCACAGGTTTGTGCCTGTCCTCCTCCTCCTCCTCCTCCTCCTCCTCCTCCTCCTCCTCCTCCTCCTCCTCCTCCTCCTCCCCCTCCCCCTCCTCCTCCCCCTCCTCCTCCTCCTCCTCCTCCTCCTCCTCCTCCTCCGTGTTGTCTTCTTCGACATGTGCCGGACTGCGCGGGGGCGATCGAGGCCGCCCTCCCCCGCGCCCCTCCCCCGCAGGTCCCGCCGCGGGAGTTCCGCGGATGGCCGCGCGTCGGCCCGGCGGTGAGGATCCGCCGCGACGGGCGCCAGCTTCTGACCAGGCGGCTCCTGCGGAGGGGGCCCAGGGTCGCGCAACCAAATACACACACATCTCAGGATGCCCCACCTGTTCCATCTTTTTCTGGAGTGCCGCTCAATCTCTTCCCATATGTTCCTGGGAATCGACGATTCATGGTGTCTGCGTGTGTCGTCTCTCCTCCCGATCCGTGCGAGACTAAACTGCCTCGCATCCCTCGCAAATGCGCTCAGCCCGTGCCCGGGTCTAAGTCATCTGGCTATCTCATCTGGGGCGGAGCGTGGCAAGGCGGTCCCAGCTAAGGAGGCTGCCTCTCCACGCCGTGACAAGACGTTGCACTCGTTCGGTGATCGTATCCAGCGCGACGGGGGAGGAAAGGTCAGCTCTCTGCCCGAGGAGCCAGACCTCTTCCCGACGAGAAGGATCCTTGGGCCGACGAAAGCAGTCTCTGTCTTGCAAGAAGGCAGGCCGCCATCAGCGACTATCGGCCTCAACAGCCGAGAATCAATAGTGTCAGCGTCGGCTCAGCCCAGCTACAAGACGCACCTCGCAAGTGCAGCCCCCCAATTAATTTCGAAGCCCCGAGAATGAATGAGCTGTGGTAGAAATACCGACAACAAAATTTGGACGGCGATCCAGAACCCATATCTCCTTCCCTTTCCGCTTCCACAGCATGTGGACTCAACCCACAGCGCGTGGGTTCACACCTTTGAAAATTTCAGTTGCTCGCGCCACCAAATCCCGATAGCCGACAGCCCGAGGCGCGCTGAAGGCTGCACTGGAGGAGGTTCGTCATAGCGGTCGCAATCGTTCGGCTCCTCTACGGGACGTGGTAGCATCCTGGTGGAAGCGAACTCCATCCGCGATATTGCAGCTAAGTCGCTATCTTGGCAGGCACAACGGTCGCCGGCAGCAGGAGCAAACATCCTTGCTGGCACTGCCGGCTCGCGCACTGCCGCTGCCCATCAGGCTTCCTGCGAGCAGGCCCAGCGCACTGAGCAGAGGGCGCGCTGGCGAGCCCTTCGTGGGTCGCTTGGTGGGTTTCTCCGTTGGCTTTTGGATCGGGCTTCTCCTGGGGCAGTGCATCGGCCCGTGCGTGGGGCCCCACTCTTCCACCCCAGAGGCATCATTGACGTCCCAGGCCGGCAGGGGGAGGAGGAGGAGGAGGAGGAGGAGGAGAAGGAGGAGGAGGAGGAGGAGGAGGAGGAGGAGGAGGAGGAGGGTGCAGGATGGAGGATGGAGGATGGAGGATGGAGGATGGAGGATGAAGGAGGAGGAGGAGGAGGAGGAGGAGGAGGAGGAGCATCTGGGCCCCGAGACTGCACGACCTCGACGTGCTTCGCGCCGCCTGCAAAGTGGTCTTCGAGGCTGCCGGGGATGAGCCGCTGGATCCAATCTCGGGGCAGGGGGTGCGTGCAGCAGCCCGCCGCAGAAGGGGAAGACCGAGAGGGGGGTGGACCGCCTCTCTCTGCTCGACATCGAGCGCCTCCCCGACGGCGGTGTGGACGGACTGGCAGCTCTCTTCAGTTCATTCGAGGTCGCACTCACGTGGCCATTTCTGACTCTACTGGTGGCAGGGAAGATGCTCCCCAAGAAAGTCGAGGGCGATCGCGCATTCGGCCTCGCTTCCCTTCTCGGAAGATTCTGGTCGCTGAGCCGCGAGCAGCACGTTCGTGAGTGGGCTGGTGCTTTCGAGGAATCGTGGGGTGCTGCAGCGCTGACAAGGCCACAACGAGGGAGGCGTTCTATCGTGCCCTCGCCGACGAGGCGGCGGCCTGCCTCAAGGTCCTGGCGGCGCACGGGATGCGAGAAAATCGCGGGCTCTACGACGCCAGCCCTTCGGCTGGTCTCCCCAACGCGCATCCCCACGCATCCTCAAGCAGTGAGGTGGCGTGTGCGGGGGGAGGGCGAGGGGGGAGCGAGGAGGAGGGCGAGGGCGAGGAGGCCGAGGCGGAGGAGGGGGGGGGGGGAGGAGGAGGAGGCGGAGGAGGGGAGGAGGAGGAGGAGGAGGAGGAGGAGGAGGAGGAGGAGGAGGAGGAGGAGAAGGAGGAGGAAAAACATACCCCAACGCATGGCAGGTTCCAGTGCCACATAGCGAAGCTCCGTCACAGCGTATATCTTGTCTTCAGCGTGGGCCAGGGCGGCGGCACTCGTCACGCGCGCCGCACACGGCGCAAGACGACGGTCAAACACGCCAAGCGCCTCGGCAAGATAGTGCGCTCTGCGAGAGCCTCTTGGATGTACGGCATCACCAGCAAGCTGCAGCGTACGCGTGCTGCAGCAGCTGGCGACTTTGGTTTTCAGATCCACCACACCGTCGGCCGACCGCTGAACGTCTTCCGCCGCATTCTGGCAACTGCATGCGGGACGGGAGGCCGTGGCATCTGCAAGACACCGTTGCTGGCCATTCAGGAGTTCGGCATCTACGCAGGGATCCTGGAGGTCATTCAAAAGAAGGGCCTCTCGTGGCACGTGCGTGGCAACGGGGCAGCCGACTTCCTGGCTGCCGAAGGGGCTGCTCGCTAACGCCGGCCCCAGCATGCCGATTTTCGGGCCAGAAGAGCTGAGCATGGGGGAGGAGGAGGAGGAGGAGGAGGAGGAGGAGGAGGAGGAGGAGGAGGAGGAAGAGGAGGAGGAGGAGGAGGAGGAGGAGGAGGAGGAAGAGGAGGTGGTGGATCTGCTGGGTCAGGATTCCTATGTTTCGTTCCACGCTGCGTGCGGTTGCCGCCCCGAGAGGGAGAACGAACACAATGCGATGGCCGCCAAGGGCGGTGGGCGTAGAGAGAGAGGGCAGCACCGAGACTCCAGGACATGCTCACCCCCGGAGCTGCGGCGAGGTCCTCGCACCCATTCTCCCGGCACCCTTTTCCTCCGCCGCCGTCTGCCAGCTCCCTGTTTATTTCCGACACCTCACACGCCTCAGATGGATTTGGACGTCGGTGCCGTCGATGCCGCGGCTCGGCATCCATCTCCCTTGTACGGTCTCGGAGGTCCACTGAGTGTTTCAAGGTGTGTTCCATTGATGGCTCCTTTCGCGGTCTTCGTGAGGGGGCGAGGATTCACACAGCTGCGGGGTGGAGTCACCCCTCCCACAACATGCGGCTGCAGCATGACCTCTGAATCTTAGTTCTGCGCGTCTTGTGGTATGTATGGGGGCAAACAACTGTTAGGTTTGGGTGAGGAATGCCCCGGTGTGACCACATCCTCCCGACGGTCTACTTGGACCGAATCGGGCGGATTTGTGTGATCTTTGTTCGTGAAAGCTGAGCTTTCAAGGAAGGCCCATACGGGGCCTTCGGGAGTTTGGTTTCGAACTCCGTCCTGGGACACCTGACTCCTGACTCGCCTGCCGTCCCCTCCCCCCTCCTCCTCCTCGCGGCACGGGGGCGTGCCAGACGTAGTCCCCCCACATGAAGAAGCCTTGGCAGGCCTCGTCCGTCAACTGGCCCTGCGACGCGACCAGGAGCCTGTCTCCGAGGGACTTGCGCCAGTCCTCGCACGGCCCCCGCCCCCCCTTGCCTCTCTGCGGCGCGCCGACGGTGAACGCGATGGGGGGCAGACCTTCTCAGAAGGCGGCAGGGATTCTCAGGAGCCCTGTGGCGCCTCCTGAGAATGCCTCTGCGTCTTCGGAGAAGGCTTGGAAAGCGTCTCGAAGGCCTCGGGGGCCTTCCGAGCCTGCACCCACATTGCCTCAGGGCTCGATCGAACCGGTGTTTTCCTTTTTCGTGTTGCTGTCGTTTTCCCTCGTTTTGCATTTTCTCCGCCTTCGCTGCAATGCGAAGTCAAAACGAGCACAGCCCACGAAATCGCCAAAACACCGTTTAGCTCGACCTCTGCTGTGCCTTCCCCACAAGGGCGCGCCGTCGAGCAAGGCGGACGTGCAGGGTCATGCAGCTACGCGGCACTCATCCTCGGCAGGACAAACTCTTGAGTTGCAAATTGCCTAAGCCGATCGTTTGATAACATCACTTCCAAAGATCCGAGGCTCCGAAAAAAAGCGGAGCGGCCGGTGTTTAGCAATTGTCGGCCTTAAGGGGCTTTGAACGGGCCCTGGGACTGTCAAAAACTGCTCCGCATGAGAAACTGGCCCTGAGGGGGTGATCCAGACCTCTGGGGGTCCCTGCATCGAGAAGACCTGGAGTGCTGGATGCCTGGGTCCATCAACGGGGTTGCACGTCCTCAGGTTCGAAAGGGTGATATTGCAACGGGGCACAAAAGGGGAAGGAAGCGAAGGGCCACGCGTAGAGCCACAGAGATGAAGGAGGGCAGAGAGAGGGCCCGACGCGCTCATACGCTGTCTTAGCGGTCCGCGTAACCTGGTACCCAGGAGCTCCCCTGGATACAATACCGCCGCTCGGCCTCCCAGCGACCAGATGTTTCTGTGACATGCATGTGTTTCCACAATTGGGAAAGACACATCTTGCGCATTCATGCGTCAAAGACATGTTCGAACACCTGGACGGTCTTGCACAACACAGATCTACAGTAGAGACGCGCCATTTTCTCCGCCTTACATGGTATAGCAATGCAGGGGCATGGCTCCTACGTGCCCTGCACTGTCATCAGTCGAAGCACATGGGAACGATCTGCCTTCACAGTCATTCGCAAAATGCTAGCGTGCGCCACGATCAATGTATGGCGCACTCGAACAATCCATACAGAAATAAACGACGCGAGACCCTCCGCGTGCACATGCGCGGTATGCCAACTGAGAGAAGAACGTAAACAGCAGAGGGAGTGCCCGGTATCTATATAGATATGTAAATACACACGTCTAATATTATATGTTGCGTAGACAGAGAAAACGGGCGAGAGAAAGAGAGGGTGAAACTGACAGTGAGAAGGGACGACACGTGGTATAGGGGAAAAGAAGACTTGGATAAGAGAAGAGGACTGCGTCATCTACACATAACTGCATTGGCACACTACGGGTGCCAATGTAGAACGAACGGGCGCAGAATGTCTCGATGCCTTGTCTGGGTGGGCGCTCTCTCATTGCCTTGTCCAAATCGACACCAAGCTCCCTCCTCACCCGCAGTTTCTGTGGCGCACGTTTCGAAGAACATCGCAATTGTCCGAGCCACCTTTACCATCTCAACCCCAAACAATCAACAACAACATCCTGGCGAAAGGCCCAACCATATGCGCTTGTGAGTAACGCGTTGTGGGTGCCACTTTCTGTGGAGCTCCCTATGGGGCCACGAAGCGCGTGAGGGACGTGCCGTAATGGGTGGGGGAGACGCATGCGGGCGGTGCCACTGGGGCCTTCGATGAAGCTCTCTATGGGGCCACGAAACGCTGTACTAGGGTGTGGCTGACGCGTGCGGGCGGTGCCATCCGCTGGAGCTCCCGACGAGGCCACGAAACGTTGTAATGGTTGGGGGAAGCGCATGCAGGCGGTGCCACTGGGGCCGTCGGTGGAGCTCCCTCTGGGCACACGAAACGCTGTACTAGTTGGGGGGGTCGCATACGGGCGGGCCACTGAAGCCCCTTACGGGGCCACGAAACGCTGTGCCCGATGGGGGGGACGCAAGCGGGCGGTGCCGCTGGGGCCTTCGGTGGAGCTCCCTATGGGGACATGACGCGCTGTACTGGGTGGTGGCTGACGCATGCGGGCGGTGCCACTGGGGCCCTCGGTGGAGCTCCCTCTGGGGCCACGGAACGCTGTACTGGGTGGTGGTTGACGCATGCGGGCGGTGCCACTGGGGCCTTCGGTGGAGCTCCCTATGGGGCCACGAAGCGCTGTAGTGGTGACTGGCGCATGCGGGCGGTGCCACTGGGACCTGCGGTGGAACTCCCTATGGGGCCACGGAACGCTGTACTGGGTGGTGGCTGACGCATGCGGGCGGTGCCGCTGGGGCCTTCGGTGGAGCTCCCTATGGGGACACGAAGCGCTGTACTGGGTGGTGGCTGACGCATGCGGGCGGTCCCACTGCGACCATCAGTGGAGCTCCCTGTGGGGCCACGGAACGCTGTACTGGGTGGTGGCTGACGCATGCGGGCGGCGCCACTGGGGCCCTCGGTGGAGCTCCCTCTGGGGCCACGAAACGCTGTACTGGGTGGTGGCTGACGCATGCGGGCGGTCCCACTGGGGCCATCGGTGAGCCCCCTATGGGACCACGAAACGCTGTACTAGGGTGTGGCTGACGCACGCGGGCGGTGCCACTGGGGCCGTCGGTGGAGCTCCCTGTGGGGCCACGAAACGCTGTACTGGGTGGTGGCTGACGCATGCGGGCGGTGCCACTGAGACCTTCGGTGGAGTTCCCTGTGGGGCCACGAAACGCTGTACTGGGTGGTGACTGGCGCATGCGGGCGGTGCCACTGGGACCTGCGGTGGAGCTCCCTCTGGGGCCACGAAACGCTGTACTGGGTGGTGGTTGACGCATGCGGGCGGTGCCACTGGGGCCCTCGGTGGAGCTCCCTATGGGGCCACGAAGCGCTGTACTGGGTGGTGGCTGACGCATGCGGGCGGTGCAACTGGGGCCGTCGGTGGCCTATGGGGCCACGAAACGCTGTGCTGGGTGGTGGCTGACGCATGCGGGCGGTCCCACTGGGACCTGCAGTGGAGCTCCCTGTGAGGCCACGAAGCGCTGTAGTGGTGGCTGGCGCGTGCGGGCGGTGCCACTGGGACCTGCGGTGGATCTCCCGATGGGGCCACGGAACGCTGTACTGGGCAGTGGCTGACGCATGCGGGCGGTGCTACTGGGGCCTTCGGTGGGGCTCCCTGTGGGGCCACGAAACGCTGTACTGGGTGGTGGCTGACGCATGCGGGCGGTGCCACTGGGGCCCTCGGTGGAGCTCCCTCTGGGGCCATGGAACGCTGTACTGGGTGGTGGTTGACGCATGCGGGCGGTGCCACTGGGGCCTTCGGTGGAGCTCCCTCTGGGGCCACGAAACGTGTGAGGGGTGTGCCGCAATGGTGGACATGCGGGGAGCAGAGGCAGGGATGGGAGGAGGGGGAGGAGGGAGGAGGGAGGAAGGAGTGAAGGAGGGAGGGAGTGAACGCGGGGATCGTCTCATCAAAACGAAAACCCAACACAAGATGGCTGGGAACTATCAAAGGGTGATCCGACACACGACATCAATCAGGACCTCTTGCATAGGCCAACCAACAACGGAGGGCGTCGAGACCATCAATATTACCTCGAGGTGCGGTGCGGCGGGTACCGATGGTACACCATGCTGTTGCGGCGAGGGTGCCTTCGACCGTCCTCCTTCCATACGGGGCTTCGACATGGAGCGCCTGGCAGGCAGAAGGGGGAAATCTGACATCAGTCATGGAGTAGATGTCAGCCCCGTTTATTGCTGAACATCCCCTCATTCCCCGGTAGTCCTCCTGGTATCTCGGGAACGGCCAGACCGTGGCCGCACCAGGACGGATCCGGACCTCGTACGTCCCGGGGCAGGCGTTGTTGGTCCACTCCATGTGGCAGTGGCCCTAGGCAAAGGCGGGAGGAGCTCAATGCAAGAGGGCCACGCTGAGAAAAGGATCAGAACGCCACCCAAAATGGCCCCAGCATGGCCCTCAATATATACATGTGTTTTCGATCATACCATCTCTCACATGCCCGTATGCTGCACGTATCTGAGACGCATGTGGATTATAGCACTGATTGAACCAATCAACTACATTCACACGACATGTGCCTGCACGTGTTGGGTAGGGACATGTGCATGCAAAGATTTCTCGCGCGAACTTGCTGCCATATACACCTAGAGGTCCCTCACGATCCGACATGCCTCACGACGGCTGCATCAATACGGCAGCGGGCAGAACATCAGCACCCACACGTACAGACATCTAGTGTATATATATATATATATGTATACAGGCATTCCCTAAGCGCTGCTTGAACTTAGGGATTCATACTTCTGGTCTACGAGATTTGGCCTGACTGCCGCTCTGGCGGCTATGTAGCCGCCGTCGCCGCCCAATCGCCGCCTGTCGTCTGCGCCTGTCTACTGCTCTGGTGGCAATATAGCCGCCGTCGCCGCCCCCTCGCCGCCTCCTGGACCTGTTTGCCGCTCTGGCGGCTATGTAGTCGCCGTCGCCGCCCCGTCGCCGCCTCGTCGCCAACCGCCGTCTGGGCCTTGTGGTGCGTTACGGTGCACTGCTTTATATGGCTTTACGTTGCTGCGCACTGCAGATAACATTGCTTTGCTTTGCAATGTGTTGCGTTGCATTGCATGGCATTGTACTGCTTTGCATAGAATTGCTTTGATGCCGCGCCGTGCATTGCATTGCATTATTTGTTTTGCATTGTTACACCGTACTATGCATTGCTCTGCAGTGCGTTGTAGTGCTACGCCATGCTGAGGTTTGCTGTGCGTTGCATTCCCTCTCCCTTCCTCCTGCCTGCTGTGCGAGGCGTGGCATTGCGCTGCATTGCGCTGCTTCGCGTTGCCTTGCGTTGCTTTGCATGTCTTTGCGTTGCTTCGCATTGCTTGGCATTGCTTCGCACTGCTGTTCAGTGCTTGCCATTGCATTGCATTACTGTGCATTGCTTTGTATTGCTTGGCATCGAATCCATGAATCGCTCACGCTTCGCGTGTGCCCGCAAGCCCATGCAGACTCTGTCCCTGCGGGGTTGCTCTCGAAGAGATATCTTGCACCACGCAGCATTCCCATTATCATTCGCATATCATTGACGTAGCGTCGAATTAACATGGCACGGTCCACGAAACATATCACAGCTGAGCATGCCATTCGCATAGCATAACAATGGCATGACACAATACAGCGTAGCATAGCCTCAGCACGTGCATTGCTCTGCACTGCTCTGAGCTGCATTGCGTTGCTCTGAACTGCTCTGCATTGCTCTGAACTGCGTTGCGTTGTTTGCATTGGCTTCCAACGCGTTACATCGCTTTGCGTGACTCTGCATTGCGTTAGCTTGATTGTGCATTGCTTGCTTTGCAGCGCACCATGTAGATTCCATAACTTAGAACACTAAGGACAACTGTTTGGGGTCTATGCTGGCGGACATATGTATATCACGCGCGAAATCCACGCTCGTTCCGCGCTCGCTGTAAGTTCTGGTCTGCCAAAAACAATGTACCATTACACCCCATAATCCATTGGGAGCGGACCTGAGTTAACAGGCCCATGGACTAGGGATATGGGGATCTTCCCTGCAGATGTATCAAACCAAGCCACCAAGACTCAGTATCCCTCATGCAAGCGTGGGGGCCTAAATTAGGCGACGTCTCCATTGTGTTATTAGGTCTCGGGATCCTCATACTCTTGATGAATACAAAAGAATTTGGCACCACGACATTCCAATAGAGCAATACGACTGGCCAGATCCGAGAAACGCTTGCTCCTGTGGTGCCCGGATCTCTCGGAGCCTCTTGAAACGCGCATCCGCTTGTCCAAGCCCTCTTGAAACAAATTCTCAGGCGACGACTCCAGGACCGTCATGGAACACTCCATTGGAGGCTTGGAAATTGATACCAACACCAACAGAGGGGGGTTGCCTCCACAGGGGGGAGATGATCCTAGATTTCGGTGTTGGTGGTAATATTTCGGTCGCCTCGGAAGCCAGAATATTACCACCATCACCGAGATCAGGATCGTCTTCCCTCGGTGGAGGCACACCGCCGATCCTGGTGTTGGTGTCAACCTCTAGGCCTGCGACGTCATGGAACACTCCAGGCCCATCCTCGAACGCGGTGACTCTTCTCGGGAAGCCGCATGGAACGCGCATCGGCCTATGCGAGGCCCTGTCGCCACCACCCTCAACGAAGCAAGCAAGACTCCGGAACACCTTGCAACAAGATCGGGAGTTCCTCCAATCGGAAGACTTTTGCGAACCTCTTTTGGGCCTGTTGGGGGCCCGTTGGGAGTCCCGCGGCCGTCCAGAGCGCGATAGATCACCCGAACCCTGCCGAAGGGCCTCTGTTAAACCATTTCGGGGACATAGCGGATCATGGGTCCGTCTTGGACGGTCTCGGGCTCGGAGATTATCGTGTCTCTATGGAAGCCTTCCCAAGGGCATCGTGCGCTGAGAACCTTGTAATCAGCAGCGACACACAATATATATATATATGCATATATATATGTGTGTGTATAAGAAATGTATAGATCTATATATGCTCGCACCCCCACCCAAGATCTACCTTGTCAGCCCCCTGTTCCTCCTCGATTGCCCGCGTTGCATATGGAGCACAGATCAAGAACATCTTCCATCGCGACCGGGGGGGGGTCTGGCGGAGGAGCGGCTCACGACTCCAAGTCGTTTTCTCGGTTGCGAAATGCGCTTCTGGTTGCGCACGCGGCCTCGCCTACCCATAAGCGTATGTGGAACACGAATGAAGCACACCTACCATGATACAATCCTTCTGTGGAGGACTTCACTCGGAATCCTTCTGTGGAGGATTTCAACAGGAATCATGACGTGGAGGAACTAAAGTTTTTCTTTTTTTCTATAACAAACTTACGCGAAGTTCACAAGGCATCCTCTGTTTCTGTGAAGGAGTGCAACAGAAATCGTTCTGTGGATTGTTAGGAAAGGAGCCCTTATTTGTAGGATGTAAGTGGAATCTCCTGTGGATGGTTTGAATGGGAATCCTCCTTTGGAGGATTTCAATGAGAATCCTTATGTGAAGGATGTGGGTTGGAATCCTGCTGTGGCGAATAATATACGAGTCATTCTTTGAAGGAATCCTAAGAGGAGCCTGGCTGTGGAAAACCATTGGGGATCTTTTTGTGAAGGCTTTGAACATGAATCCTGCTGTCCTCCTGTAAAAAGGTTTCAAAAAGAATCCTCTGGTGGACGGTTTGAACGGGAACCCTCCATCTGAATGGCTTCAACAGAAAACCGTATGTGATGGGTTGAATTGGAATCCTTCCGTGGCGAGTTGAAAACGAATCATTATGTGGAGGAGTTCCAAAAAATCCGGGCGGTGGAAAACCATTAGACATCCTTGTGTGGACGGATTGTCTAGGAAACCTCTTGCGGTCCTGCGCGACCGCCCCACGAGCCCAGCCGCTAAGGCTCTCGACCTGGAAAGCGCGGGGCACCCGCGCGAGGAAGAAGCCCCAAGTCCAACCCATCGGCATCGCCTTCATGGCGGGCGCCGCGCTGTCGGAACCCCAGAGGTAGCCGGACGAAAGGTCGCCGTTGGTGGCCATTTTGAGCTCGGTCCCGGTCGCGCCCGGCTGGCAGAAGAAGCACTCGAGCGCTGGCGGCAACCCACGTGCGTAGAGAAATACGTCACATCACTCAGCGAAGGGCACGCGTTCAGAGCCCGAGTCCATCGCGACATCGGCCCGGGAGCTTTCCGAAACCATCGGAACGCGAGGGCGCTCCCGGAAGCGGGCGTTCACGCGTCTGCAGTCGACCGCGAGGAGCTGCTTGCCCGACTTCTTCCGACGGAAAAAAACAAAATCCTGCCCCACCCCTGGACAGACCCCCTCACGAAGTCGATATAGCCGCGGCGGCTGAGTCGGAGCCGAGGGTCCATACAGGACCCGATCTGCTCGAGACCGCGCCCCAACTCCCCCCCCCCCCCACAACCACTTGTTGTCACCCTTGAGCAGGTGGTCTTTAAAATGTACGATCATCTTTGCGGCTCCAGCGGCGGCGCCTCGGAGAGTGGGGCTGCGACGCGCCCCTTTCCAGGGGTCGACGCCAGAGCGCGGTCGCAGGGTACCGCGGTCAAGTCGTCGTCCCCTCTACGAGGGCCCCCCCTTGCTGGGAAGCGCACGCGCGGTTTTCTCGTCGGGGGCCTGGCCGCCTCCGGCGGCGGCTGGAAAGAAGATATGGCGTGATGCAGATGGTCCACGAAGGCCCGCTGGCCCGAAGACGAGAACTTCTCGTCTGCCACTAGCCAATTGAGGACCCAGATGCTCTCGTTCACCTCGTCCGCGATGCGGCGGCAGGTCTGGGCCCCCCGTCGAACGCCGCGGGCTAGGCGGCTCCCAGCGCGAAGCTTCTGAAACAAAACGCATGAAAGAGGAAGAAGCTCTCGTGATTCATCGCGATCTTCGGCTACGACGCCTGACAGGAACCCCAGCCGGGCGGCCGGGGGCGCCCTGGATCTCGCCCCCCCCCCCCCCCCCTCGGGCTGTGGGGGGGGGGCCGCGGTCGGAAGTCATGTGCCATCGCCGCCCTGACCCTCCTTCTCGGGGCCTTCGGGCGGCTTCCTCGACCTCAGCTCCTGGTCATGTTTCCGCAACTCCATATACGCCGACGCCTCGTCAAGAACCTCGTCGGCCACCTGCTCGGCGAGATCCGGCGCGACAAATGCTTCGCCTCGTCCAGGCACCCCACCCACAAAGTCGCCAGACCCTGCGTGGTCGGGACTGCCGGGCGAGAATCGCTCGACGCCCGGGAGCCCCCAGCGAGACCAGCGCGGGGATGTCGAGCTGGTCGACCTCCGCCGGAGGAGGAGGAGGAGGAGGAGGAGGAGGAGGAGGAGGAGGAGGAGGAGGAGGAGGAGGAGGAGGAGGAGGAGGAGGAGGAGGACCTTCATGACACGATGCAGAGTGCTCGCGCACCGGACGGGCTCCTCCTGCGCCCAGCTGACGGGCCCACCTGTGGTGGCGCTGGACGGACCCGCCCTCCCCGCTGCGGGCCACCCCCCCCCGCGTGCCCGAAGAGCGACGTCTCGCCCTGAAGGCTTGGAGTCGGCGTAGTCGTGGCAGACCGTCGTGTCGACGGACTCGACGAGACGGCGAAGGCGGGCGTCGCCCCTGCAGACCATCGGGAGAGTGAGGGCGTCGGCGTCCTCGTCCACGGAGTCGGCCACGGCAGCGAAGCACAGCAACACCACGTTCGGCGTCTCAGCCGTCATGATAATCGACCCGCCCCCCCCCTTCACAAGCGCGAAGGCGTGGCCAGCCTCAGGACGACACTCGGAACCGCAAGCGAAGGCCAGTTCCCAGGAGGAGGTGATCCTCAATATTTTGCCGTCCGAGGCCTTGGGCGGCCCCCTGCTTGGAAGCTTGTCCCCATCGCCCCCGTCCTTGCGCTCTTCGCCGTCGGCGACAGCACGGGCACGAAGATAAAGCGACACGTCCAGCGACACGTCGCCACGACCAGCACGGAAAGCATGCCGAACCGCTGGGTCCAGACCACGAACATAGAACTGACCGACGACGTTCCCCTCATAATCCAGCATGCGCAGCGCCTGGAGTTCCCCTGGCACGGAAAGATCCCGGGGGGACACGTCGCCGCCCGCTGTCAACATCCACCTTGACCAATGACTCGCTGGAGGGTCCTCCCCGTGTGCCGCTCGGTAACTCGCGGTCGCACACTTGCTCAGAATCACCACCTCTTGCCAGAGGTCCGGCTCGTCCACGTAGAGCAAGAAAACACCAAGCCACCCGTGCAGCGCCGGTCTCGCAAAAACGACGGCAGCCATCTCGAAGGCAACCGAGGAACGTGAGAAAGAGACCCAGTAATATACTCAGGTAGAACACCGCGCTCACGAGCACGGCAGACAACAACTCGATGTACCACGGCAGCGCCGACTCTGGAAAAGGCTGCGCAGGCGGACCCTCGCACGTGTCCTCCTTCGTCTCCTTAAACCCCTGGAGCTACTCCAGCACCTCGGAGAGATCTGGACAGGAGGCTGGGCAGGTCACGTTGTAGAGCACCGGCGGCGACACCGAGGGACAGGGACACTCCAGAGAACGCTAAGGGCCAAACCACAGCAGCATCGGCGATGGCGAGAACCAGGCCCCTGCGACCACGGCGAGGAGGAGGCGAGGAGCCCCCTGGAAGGACATCTAGTCCTGCAAACACTTGAGTCGTATGCTTACGGTTCAAGACACATGTACCCAAGTGGACTCGCCCTGGAGGCTCAACTGTGGCGTGACGCGGCCCAGGCTCCAGGAGTACCCCCTAGATGTAAGCACTATACATATACGTCGATGTATATATATGCACATATGTGTGTGCATGTCTACATCATGTGCACACACAGGCATCGACGAAGTGGCGCAATACTCTGAGTGAAGCGTCCCCAGGTTCCGAAGAGTCCTCAATATCAGTATCCAATACTAAATATGGCAAACAAGCTCCCTCATGGGCAGACCTCCACTTGCATCATTTCAGGGGGTGTGTTACGTGCTGCCGCGGAACACTTGGGCTTCTCACGTGACGTCCCCGAAGGCCCGAGAGCACCAAGGCGGGCCGTGAGGGCCCCAAGAGGCCCCAAAGAGGATCTAAGAAGGCCCGACAGTGCCCAAGGGCGCTCCGAGAAGGCCCAAGGGAACCCTGGAAGCTCGCCCAGAGGGGCCCAAACCTCCTGAATCCCCTCACCTCCACTCTCCCCGTCGCTTCCACTCTCCCCTTCACCTCTCCTTTCCGTCTCCTCCCCTTTCCGTTTCCCTCCTGCTCCTCCTCCGTCCGCCGTCTCTGCCGCCATCCTTGCCGTCCCATATGTATCCCCCACTTCCACCTCCCCTCCGCTTCCTCCTCCTCCTCCTCGTCCTCCTTCGTTTCACTCTGGTTCTCCCCTTTGTGCCTTCTGCCCCCCCTCGCTCGTGTACAATTCGCCCAGCAGCGCCCCCGTTCAGGCCAAGGAAGCTGTGGGCGTTTGCCACCGCCGCGGCCAAAAGCTCCCCTTTTCCCTCCACCATCTCTCTTCTCCTGGACCTTATCCTCCCTTCAAATCCGTCTTGGTCCTGCTCCTCCCACGTCATCCTTCTCTTCCGAGCTGCTTTCCATCCACATCCTCCATATCCTCCTCGTCCTCGCCCTCCCTCACTCCACCACCTCCCCTTCTCGGGAAACCAAAAGGTACCGATACCGCAACTCCACGAACCTCTCCTGGGGTGCGCTCTGATCAGAATCCGAAGGAGCACCTGGCCGTGGCGACGAGGATTCTCAATGACGAGCAACGGTAAAGGTAAATGCTCCTTCTCGGATTCTGCGCACTCCTTCTTGTCCCCCTTCCAAGACACGTGATGCCCTATTTGTTCGATGTGTGCACCCCCAGAAATCTGGACAGCGTCCCTAGAGCTGCTGTATGTTCATCCCGTTGAGGGCCCCTGGACCCCGAAACTGGCCAATACAAACGCGTAGCGAAAAACTCAACCATATGCAGCTGAGAACATCGCGAGTCAGGCAAGACGACGGAGGGGGCCACGAAGCGTGTGAGGGGTGTGCCTGAATGTGCGGCGCGGACGCATGCCAACGCTTACTGTGGCCATCGGTTGAGCTCCTTATCGGGACACGAAACATGTGACGGGTGTGCGGGGATTTGAGGCGCGGACGCATGCGAAAGCACCCACTGGGGCCAGAAACATTTGATGGGTATGCCGAAATGTGCGGCGCAGACGTATGCGAACGGAGCCACTGGGGCATTCGGTGGAGCTCCCTCTGGGGCTACGGAACCGGTGAGGGGTGTGCCGACATGTGTGTCGCGGACGCATGCGGACGCATCTACAGGGATCTTCAAGGGAGCTCCTTATGAGGACACGAAACTAGTGAGGGGTGTGCCGAAATTTGCGGCGCGGACGCATGTGATGTGACAGCAGCCTCTGGGGCCTTCGGTGGAGCTCCGTGAGAGGCCACGAAACGTGCGAGGGGTGCGCCGAAATATGCGGCGCGGGCGCATGCCAACGCAGCCACTGGCGCCTTCGGTGGAGCTCCCTGTGGGGCCACGTAACATGTGAGGGGTGTGTCGACACAGAGACATGCGGGAGGAGGGGGGAGGGCAGCGGGAGGGACTGAGACGCGGAGCGCTGTCTCTTCAAAACGAAGATACAACACGACGGGATGGTTGGGAAATTTTGGAAGCCTCGAGCTTCTGAGTGTTCCTCCTCGGGTCATCTTTACTCCTTCTCGCCCTCCTCCCCGCCCTCAACACAGGGGGTGGCCGCGGCAATGCGGCCTCGTTGTCGCCGTACCTTCCCTCGATCTTGGGGGGCGTCCTGCCGGCGACTATCTTGGCGGAGGGGCTCCTGCAGACCGCGCCGTGCCAGGACGCTGGAGGTGTAAGAGGGAGGAGGGAGGGAAACACGAACAGCCGCCTGTTCCTGCTCCTGCTCCTGCTCCTGCTCCTCCTTCCTCCACCTCCTGCTCATAGTGCCGTATGTTCTGCGTTGGGGGTACCCCACTACTCACTACTCTGACAGGCCCTCATCAGGCTCCGCTGCAAGAAAAACGATCGTCGCGCCCATCCTCAATCGCATCAGTGGTTTACTGCGTTTCCTCCTGTTCAGCAACCGCTTCCTCCTCACGGTGGGGCCGTCGGGGGAGCAAATTCCACCGAAACGCTCCCGTCGGCGGATAAAAAACAAAAAACCCGGCCAAACGGGAAAGCTGGGCGGGGCAGGCTGTCCGATCTGCCGCGCGCGCGCGCCCAGCTCGCCTCCCTCCTCTCTCCCCTCGCCCACCCCCCGCTCGGCGCGGTGTCCTCTTCTGTCTTGCAGCCTCCTGGACCTCGGGCTCAGAGGCCGTCTGCAGGCCTGCGGGGGGGGAGCGTGGAGGGAGGAGGGGCGGGCAAACCAAAAAGGAACCGACACCGCTACGCCACGAGCGGCTTGTGGCCAAACTTTCGATGCGAATCCAGCCGTGCCGACGAGGGCCTCCAAGGAGGCTCAGAAGGGCGAAAACGAGGGGAAAATAGACGTATTAGTACCGGTTCCTCCTCTGTGGAGGCGCCGGTGTTAGAGCGCGTTTCTTTATCATCGGCGATGACGGGCGTTATGGGGGGGAGGGGTGGGAGGCGGGGGGGGGGAATATGACGTAAGACCCCCACCCCAGCCGTACGACTCCGGCACCACCGTCGCGCCCGCGCGCACGACGACGATGAGCGACGACGAGCAACGAGCGACGAGCGACGACGACGACGACGCGAGCAGCATGTAGGTGGCGATCTGCCCCACAGCGCCTGTGTACACCACAATGCTCGCGTGCACCACAGGGCTTGTTTACACCACAGCGCCTGCGTACATCGCAACAGCCGTGTGCAACGCAACGCCTGTGTACACCACCATGCTTGCGTGCACCACAGCGCCGGAGTACACCACAGCGAATGTGTACACCGCAGAAGCCATGTGCAACACAGCGCCTGTTTACAGCACAATGCTTACGTGCACCGCCGCGCCTGTGCACGCCACAGCGCCTGTCTACACCACAGCATCCACGTGCAACGCAGCGCTGGTGTACACCAGAGTGCCTGCGTGCACAGGGCAGGTAGAAGGAGCGTGTCGGTGATGATCTGCTGCGGACAGCTAAACGCCACGCCAGGGATGTACTGATAATAGAATGCGACGTCTTTCCCTCCTCCCTCCTCGACCTCCGACTCCACCTCCTCCTCCTCCTCTTCGTCCTCCTCCTCCTCCTTGTCCTCCCCTTCTCCTCCCTCACCCTGCCCCCCTGTCGTGCGGGTCGGCACTACAGCGCACGTGCGCGTCTCAGCGTGCACCGCAGAATGGTCTATTCACTGGCGCCGTGCTGAGTGCACGCAGGCATGGCATTGTGGTGTACACTGGTGCTGTGTTGCACACGGCTGATGTGGTGTACGCAGGCGCTGTGGTGTACACAAGCGCTGTGGTGCCAGCAGGCACTGGCACACACTGGCGCTGTGATGCACGCAGACACTATGGTGTACACAGGCAGTGTGGTGCCGATCGCCACCGACATGATGCTGCTACCCGTCTCCGGTGATTCCTAAGCATTCCCAGACGCCGCCGGCGCGAAACATGACGTCATCGGCCCCCCCCCAGATGAGTGCCGTCATCGGCCCGGAATAAAAAAAAACACGCTCCAGCTGCGTCCGCGCGCACGACGACGACGAGCGACGAGCGACGAGCGACGAGCGACGAGCAACAACGACGACGACGACGACGCCGACGCCGACGCCGACGACGACGACGGCGACAACGACGACGACGACGACGACGACTGCGGACCAGACTTCTATGCGGATTCCTATGCGGACACCTATGCAGATCACGATGCGCACGGCGGCAATGCCCAGAAAGAACCGGGGGGAAACGTTACGTCATAGGGTGGGGGGGCAGGGGCCATGACGCCCGTCATGCCGCAAGGAATAAAGAAACGGGCTCTTAGCGGGCGGTACTACATAAACTTTTCCGCCATCGGGGGCCTTCATCCCAGGGCGGTTGGAAAGTTTATGCCCCCACCTGCCACAGATGGCGGACAGCTTGATCGTCCACCCTTCCTCGCCTGCCACGTGGTGAGGCGGCTTGCGACAACAGCGGCAGCACACGACGCCCGTGGCGGCCCGCCGTGCTTCCTCGGAGCGATCCGACCTCTCTGGCGCGCGAGGCGCCCTTGGCGGGCGGGGAGCTGGGCAGCCGGGCACCGAGGTCCGCCAGCCTGTACGGCCCGACCCTCCATACCGAGCGGAGGTCAGCTCCGGAAGTAGCGCGAGCTGCGTACGAGGCCGCTGCCGCGGAATTGTGAACA